ATGAAGGAGACACTCACAATTTCACATGGCATGCCAACTGGCGCCACGCATGACAAGATATGGCTGGAGTTCAATCTCGCTGCAAAAGACGAGAATGCTAGCACCAGCTTTGCAAATGCAATGGCGAATTTTCTGGGGCAGCTTCACTTGCACCAGCACTTGAACGTGTCCGCAGAAGGCGATGCTGTTTGCGTGAAAACGTCCCCCTTCCAGCTTCCAAACGTCACAAAGCACATGCTTGAGACGGTGGTCAAGCACGTAGGGCATCTGAAGATTTCGGAGTCAGTGGATGTTGATGCCAATGACATCCTCAGTCACCCGGATGAGCCTATCTTCCAGGAGTTGTACCAAGGCTTTTTGGCGAGCGTCGATGCAAGCTTGAGCGATGCGTTGAAGGGCGTTTTCTCCAAGCAGCTCCAGAAGGAAATCCCTGCTGGGTCGGCAGCCATGCAGATATTGCTGTCGATCTTTGCAGGTGCATCTGTAGATGCCAAGCTCGCTTACACTGCCAAATCGCGCAAGGCAATGTTCAGCACTCTGCCTGGCAAATTGAAGTGGAGTTTCAGTGACATCGTGCAGATTTCCAAGCAGGCAGCTGAAAAAAGCCCTGCACGTGTCCGCGGCCCTCTGGCTGAAGCTGGTGTGAAGTTGTTGCAGCTGGCTGGGGAGACCTTGACTGCTTTCCAATCCGTGGAAGTTAAGAATTTGCCAGTTGGCTTGCAGGCGGTTTTGAGCTTTCACAACTTCAATCCCTTTGCGATCATGGCCGCTATCATCCAGGAGGCTGGCATTGCTGACATCCTGCAGGCCCCTGCTGAGGTGCCATTGCTGAAGAGGCAGTTAGAGCCGACTGAGGAATCTGAGCCGACCGAGGAACCTGACACGCTGCCTTCGCAACCAAGGGAACTTGACCTGAGTACGGCGCTTGAGAGCGAAACTGTCGAGGAGGTCGAAGCTGCGGAGCAAGCGACGCAGCAGTCGATCGAAAAGCTCGGCATGGCTTTGCAGAACCAGCCGCTCGGCAGCAGGGGTAAGATGAGTAAGGCCCAGTAAGGCCCAGTATGGCACACACGTGTGGTGCATTTTGCAATCAGTTGATTCCCGGCCTGCCAGGCCTACAGTTCTCATCCCGCTGCGAGGCAGCTTGCAGATTGGGCCGTCATTGCGAACGCTCCATACCAAGATGAAGGAGACACTCACAATTTCACATGGCATGCCAACTGGCGCCACGCATGACAAGATATGGCTGGAGTTCAATCTCGCTGCAAAAGACGAGAATGCTAGCACCAGCTTTGCAAATGCAATGGCGAATTTTCTGGGGCAGCTTCACTTGCACCAGCACTTGAACGTGTCCGCAGAAGGCGATGCTGTTTGCGTGAAAACGTCCCCCTTCCAGCTTCCAAACGTCACAAAGCACATGCTTGAGACGGTGGTCAAGCACGTAGGGCATCTGAAGATTTCGGAGTCAGTGGATGTTGATGCCAATGACATCCTCAGTCACCCGGATGAGCCTATCTTCCAGGAGTTGTACCAAGGCTTTTTGGCGAGCGTCGATGCAAGCTTGAGCGATGCGTTGAAGGGCGTTTTCTCCAAGCAGCTCCAGAAGGAAATCCCTGCTGGGTCGGCAGCCATGCAGATATTGCTGTCGATCTTTGCAGGTGCATCTGTAGATGCCAAGCTCGCTTACACTGCCAAATCGCGCAAGGCAATGTTCAGCACTCTGCCTGGCAAATTGAAGTGGAGTTTCAGTGACATCGTGCAGATTTCCAAGCAGGCAGCTGAAAAAAGCCCTGCACGTGTCCGCGGCCCTCTGGCTGAAGCTGGTGTGAAGTTGTTGCAGCTGGCTGGGGAGACCTTGACTGCTTTCCAATCCGTGGAAGTTAAGAATTTGCCAGTTGGCTTGCAGGCGGTTTTGAGCTTTCACAACTTCAATCCCTTTGCGATCATGGCCGCTATCATCCAGGAGGCTCGCATTGCTGACATCCTGCAGGCTTCGGGAGCCTCGCACGGCACATGATGCGACCAGTGGAGGCATCAAACCGGATACCCAAAGTCACGGATCGCAAGCCGCATGACTCCATTCCCGTATGAACAAATGCGCTTAATCTCTGTTCAAAGTGACGCAGCTGTTTGATATCAGCGTGGCTTCATATGGCTCAGCATGCCGCGAAGCGGCTGGAGATTATTCATCCCTGGGCCGGGGGGGCCTGAAAGTATGAAGGAGAAGAAAGTGCAAAGTGCAGCCTGCACGATAGCTGATGTTGGAAAAAGAGATGCAGCCAATGCTCGTGCCTGTGAAGTAGGATACCTATGAAGTGTGAAGAGATGAGAGTCTAATTTCAACAAAGGCATTTTACATGAGTCAATTTCATGAACGGCCTGCGTTGCCATGCTTCTGAAGTCGTTGGCCCGATGAAGGTTGGTACCAATATTTGATTCATACGCGATTATTTTTTTTGACATGTGGTAGAACCCCTACGGCTCGAAGAGGGGCCTGGGCATTAGGTACCCCACCCGAACCCGAACCCGAACCCGAACCCGAACCCCCCCCCCCCCTCAAAAAAAAAAAGGGGCCCGAACCCAAACCCGAACCCGAACCCGAACCCGAACCCCCCTCCCAAAAAAAAGAGAGGCCGAGCCCGAACCGAACCCGAACCCGAACCCGAACCCGAACCCGAACCCGAACCCGAACCCGAACCCGGAACCCGAACCGAACCCGAACCCGAACCCGAACCGAACCCCCCGCCACAAAAAAAAAGGGGCCCGAACCCGAACTCGAACCCGAACCCGAACCCCAACTCGAACCCGAACCCGAACCCGAACCCGAACCCCCCCCCCCACCCCAAAAAAGAAAGAAAAAGGCCCGAACCCGAACCCGAACCCGAACCCAAACCCGAACCCCCCCTCCCCAAAAACAGAAAAGGGCCCGAACCCGAACCCGAACCCGAGCCCAAACCTCTCCCCCCCCCCCGAACCCGAAAGCTGAATTGAAAGCAATCAGAACTTTAAACCTGAACCTGAACCCTGAACCTGAACCCGAACCTGAACCTGAACCTGAACCCACCCCCCCACAAAAAGTGCTGGGCCTGAACCTAAACCCGAGCCCTACAATCGTGCTTGAACCTCCCCCCGGCCCGAACCTGAACCCGAACCCGAACCCGAACCCGAACCCGAACCCGAACCCCTCCCCCCCCAACCCCCCAACCCCCCAACCTGAACCCGAACCCGAACCCGAACCGAACCCGAACCCGACCCGAACCCCCCCCCCCCCCACAAAAAAAAAGGGCCCGAACCCGAACCCGAACTCGAACCCGAACCCGAACCCCCTCTCCCCCCTCAAAAAAAAAGGCCCGAACCCGAACCCGAACCCGAACCCAAACCCCCTCAAAAAACAATGCCCGAACCCGAGCCGGAGCCCGAACCCGAACCCGAACCCAAACCCGAACCCCCACCCCGCCCCCCCCCCCCCAAACCCGAACGCCGAACCCGAACCCGAAACCGAACCCGATCCCCAAAATAAACCCACCCGAACCCGAACCCGAATGCGAACCCGAACCCGATCCCGAACCCGAACCCGAACCCGAACCGAGCCCGAACCCGAACTCTCCCAACCCGGAAACTTCGAACCCGAACCTGAACTCGAATCTGAACCTCCCTCCCCACCTGTAGGGGGCCGAACCCGAACCCCAAATGATAGAACTGAACAACAACAACGAAGAAAGTCGGGCTCTGCCAAACATAGGCGGGGGGGTTGGGGGGGGGGCGCAGCCCCCCCCCATGATAGAACGGAACAACAACGACCAAGAACGTCTGGCTCCGCCAAACACAGCAGGGGGGTTGGGCGGGCGCAGCCTCCCCCCCCATGATAGAACTGAGCAAGAACGACGAAGAACGCCGGGCTCCGCCAAACAGAGGCGGGGGGGTTGGGGGGGGCGCAGCTTGCCAAACAAGGGCGGGGGGGTTGGGGGGCCCCCATTATCGAACTGAACAAGAAAAACGAAGAACGTCGGGCTCCGTCAAACATAGGCGGGGCCCCACATGATAGAACTGCACAACAACAACCAAGAACGTCTGGCTCGAGCGGGGGGGGGCAGCTTCCCCCCATGATAGAACTGAACAAGAACGACGAAGAACGCCGGGCTCCGCCAAACAGAGGCGGGGGGGGGGCGCAGCCCGCCAAACATAGGCTGGGGGGGCGCATTATAGAAGTGAACAAGAACAACGAAGGCCCCCATGATTGAACTGAACAAGAACGACCAAGAACGTCGGGCTTCGCAAAACAGAGGCGGGGGGGTTGGGCGGGGCGCACCCTCCACCCATGATAGAATTGAACAAGAAGGACGAAGAACGCCGGGCTCCGCCAAACAGAGGCCGGGGGGTTGGGGGGGCGCAGCCCCCCCCCCATTATAGAACTGAACAAGAACAACGAAGAACGTCGGGCTCCGTTAAAAACGTTGTGGGGTTGGGTAGCAGCTCTCCCATGATAGAAATTGAACAAAGAACGATGAAGAACGTTTGGCTTCGCCAAAGAGAGGGGGGGAAGTGGGCGCAGCCCGCGAACATAGGCGGGAGGGCTGGGGCGGGGCGCAGCCCCGTGGCTGCTTGGTGAGGGGGGAGTGTCTGGTTCGGGTTCGGGTTTGGTTACTATTATGGTGGGGGTCGGGTTCGGGTTCGGGTTCGCGTGGGGTGGCCGGCTCGGGTCTGGGTTCGGGTGGGGCCGGGCTGCTTGGGGGGAGGTTCGGGTCTGGTTCGCTTGGGTTCGTTCGCTGGGCTTCTTTGTCGGGGGGGGGGGCCCGTCTGGCCTCGGGCCTGGGTTCGGGTTCGGGTTCTGGTTTGCGGGCCGGGCTGCTTTGGGGGCGGGGGGGAGGTTCGGGTTCGGGTTCGGGTTCGGGTTCGGGCTCGGGTTTGTGGAGGGCCCCCCACCCCCCCGCCTCTGTTTGGCGGAGCCAGACGCTCTTAGTCGTTCTTGTTCAGTTCTATCATGGGGGGGGCTGCGCCACCCCCCAACCCCCACGCCTGTGTTTAACGGAGCCCGACGTTCTTCGTTGTTCTTGTTCAGTTCTATAGCCCGGCGTTCTTCGTCGTTCTTGTTCAGTTCTATCATGGGGTGGGCTGCGCCCCCCCCAACACCCCTGCCTTTGTTTGGCGGAGCCAGACGTTCTTGGTCGTTCTTGTTCACGGCCCAGAGCCAGAACCCGAACCCGAACCCGAACCCGAACCCGAACCCCCCCCCCCCCACAAAAAAGAAGCCCAGCCCGAACCCGAACCCGAACCCGAACCCGAACCCGAACCCGAACCCGAACCCGAACCCGAACCCGAACCCCCCCCCCCCCAAGAACCCGGCCCCGCACCCGAACCTGAACCCGAACCCGAACCCGAACTCGAACCCGAACCTCCCCCCCCCAAGCGGCCCGGCCCAGAGCCCGAGCCCGAACCCGAACCCGAACCCGAACCCGAACCGCAAAAAAGAAGCCCACAAACCCGAACCCGAACCCGAACCCGAACCCGAACCCGAACCTCCCCCCCCCCCCAAGCGGCCCGGCCCAGAGCCCGAACCCGAACCCGAACCCGAACCCGAACCCGAACCCGAACCCGAACCCGAACCCGAACCCGAACCCGAACCCGAACCCGAACCCGAGCCCCGAACCCGAACCTGAACCTTCCCCCCCACGCGGCCCGGCCCAGAGCCCCAAGCGGCCCGGCCCAGAGTCCGAACCCGAACCCGAACCCGAACCCGAACCCGAACCCGAACCGCCCCCCCCCCCCCCAATGCTGGCACAGACGCCTTGCAAATCTCGTGGGCATGGATGTGCAGATTAGCAGGTTTCTTGGCTTGCGAATCGTTTTTGCAAGTCAAGTGCCAGCGCTTTCGCAAGGTTAGGGACAGATTTCGTGGCAGGCAATGCACTTGCGCAAGGTCTCTCGCAGCACTGGTGGATAGAGTTGTTGATAGGTAGACAGATACATGGCGAGCGTTGCGTGGATACATAAACACATATAGATAGCTGGGTGGGGCAAGGAGGAAAAGTGCTCTTCTTGAGCACGCCGCTCTTGAACGTGCCCGGCATTTCGCTGCGTCTCTGCTTCCACGCTGTTGCCATCTGGGCGCAAGCCCTTGGGAAGTGGCTCGTCCATGAGCTGTGTCTCCTCCGCACACAGCTTTGGCGCTTGCGCCGCTTGCGCCCCTTGGCAGCGCAAGCAAGAAGAACGGCGCTGTGAATTCGGGGAAATTTGGGGACCTGTCCGAGTCGAAATTTCTCGAAAATTTCGTGCCGGGTGTCTCCGTATCCTTGCCTCTCTCTGTGTCTCCCAGTCTGTTTCCGTGTGTCCGTATCTATCTATTTCGTAATCTCTGTGTTTCTTTGTCTATCTTTGTGCATCTCTGTGTGTCCCAATCTAATCTGTTTCTTTTTGGTGTTCTCTCGGGTTGTCTCGGTTTGTCTCTGATTGTCTCTATGTGTCCGTATCTGTCGTTCATCTCTATTTCTTTGTGTCTTTTTGTGTCTCTCTGTCTATTTCCGCGTGTCCGCGTCTGTCTATTTGGGTAATGTCTGTCTATCTCTGTCTCTGTCTTTATCTTTCTGCCTGTCTGCGCTTGTTTCTGCGGTTCGGTTCACAAAGATGGCACACTTCCGCGTTGCCGCGTGCCGCATCTCCCCCATTCAAGCTCGGCTTGTTTCCTTTCGTTTTGTCTTTTTTTTTGGTTGCCAATTATTTCTTATATCGTTCTTGCTTGCTCTCCCTCTCTCTTTCTTTCTCTCTCTCTCTCTCTTTCTCTTTTTCTCTCTTTCTCTTTCTTTTTCTCTCTCTTTCTCTCTCCTTCTCTCTCTCTTTCTCTTTCTTTCTCTCTCTTTCTCTTTTTGTTCTCTCTCTCTCTTTTCTTTCTTTCTCTTTCTCTCTTTCTCCTTTTTTCTTTCCTTTTTTTTCTCGCCTTTTTTCTTTTCTGTTTTTTTCTTCGTTGCTTATATTACTTCTTATTTTTTCTCATTATTAGTTTCTTTGTTTTTTTTTACTATTTTTGTTTCCTTTCTATTTTTCCCTTTTTGTGTTTTTTGGTATTATTATTGATGGAATTAACGATTTGCTTCTAGTGTTATGATACTTTAGACTCTCTCCCTTGTCTCCTTTGTGTGTTCTGTCCGCTATGTAATGTATGTATGTAATGTAATGTAATGTAATGTTATGTATGTGTATGTAGGTAGGTATGTATGTAATGTAAAGTAATGTATGTATGTATGTAATGTAATGTATGTAATATTATGTAATGTATGTATGTATGTATGTAATTTATATATGTATGTAATATATGAATGAATGTATATATCTATATTTATGATGTTGGGGGGGGTAAAGGGGGGGGGTTATCTTCTATTCTTTAATAAATATCTAATATACCGATTAATATCGGTGGATTTTAAAATATTTTGTGTTTTTGATAACTTATAATAAATATTAATATAATACTAAAATTGTATAGAAATTAATATATTTATATTTAGATAAATTAATAATTATATATTTTAACTATATTATATTTTATATTAATAAATTTAATTAGATTTTATTTTATATTTTAAAATAATATTTTTTTTAATATTATAATTAAATATTTATAACAGAATTCCGACCGAATTATTGTAAATTAAAATTAATAATTATATTATTAAAATATATTTCGAACATTTATTAAAATATCGATTTTTCGAATTCTAAATAATAATTATAAATTATTATATTATATTTAAGTTTACTTGAAATAAATATATAAAGAATATATATATATATAATAATAATAATTAATTAATATATAGAAATAAAAATACAATATTATAAAAACTAAACATCTAAATAAATAAAAATAGATATATAAATAAATATTAACAAATTCTTTAATTTTTAAAAATAATAATTTAATATATTTTTCGATAATAATTAAAATTTATATACATTAAATATAATATTATATAATATATAATTATATATTTTGTATTATTATATATATAAATATACATTTAATATTAATATATAATATATTAATTTATTATAAAAATTAATATTAATTATATTTTTTTAATTTATTTAACCATTAAACATATATATATTAGTTTTTAAAAATAATTAAATATCTTTACACCTAAATAATTAAATCTCTTAAATATATAAATAAAACATTATTTTTTTAATAATTTATTAATTCTAATTAATTTCTAAAAAAATATAAATCCTTCTCAAAATATTTCTTTTTTTTATACCTATATTTCGTCCAAAATCAATTTTCTCCTTTTAATTATTCTTAATTTATTATTTCAATCCATAAAATACAAACATACACTTATCCTAATAAATACAAAATTTTAAAGCAAAATTAAAACACAATATATATTCATTAACCAATACAAACAATATAAACCATTTATAAATAAATCATTATTCAAATTATTATTATATTTTTTTTTTTCTTATATCAACCAAATTCAATATCCAAAATTAAATGTAATTACTAATAATATATATATAATTATCTAAAATTCCTTATTCCGAAAATCGGTATCTTCACGCGAAGAAAAAAAAAAAAAAAAAAAAAAAATGCAAAACCCATCGCGGAATTTTCGCAGAATTATTTTCAAAATATTCATCATAATTTTTAAATATTAAATATAAAAATTATATATAACTTAAATTTCCTTAATCTCGAAAATCAAAACTTTCAAGACACAAATAACATATAAATTAAACTTCCATAATCCCAATTCGTGAATTTTATACCAAACATTCGCGAAAATCCGGCTAAAAGTTACGTTCAGCCTACCCCAACAACTCAGCTTATCCCAACAACTTCAAAACTCCCAAAAAGCTAATTTCTGCTGGCTGCGGAAATTGCTTTTGCAGCGACGTGTTCTTATAACGACCCTCAGGCTATGTATTTTCCGACCAATTTTACTCTACGAACATTCTACGCGCACTGCCAGTAAATACATATGGTTCATCAATCCAGCTTCCTATAACAAACCATACAAATTGTTCGTGGAAAAAAAAATAAAATAAAAATAATTTTCGTAACCCCCTTCGTATCGTCCCCTTCATAGCTCAATACAACGACCTTTCGGACGACTCTTATATATATATATATCTGCTATCAACATCCAATTTAAATACATCACATACCATATCAATCAAACATACAAATTGTATGTGTATTCTTTTTGCGCAAACATTGTCTCTTGTTGTTCGTACACGAATTCCAAATTACAAAACAAATGCATGCAATAGAAACACGCCTCATACGGCTTGCGCTTGGCACCTACCAACCGGTTGCGAACGGCGCTATTCAACCCGGAATGTTTTTGATCTTAGTCGAGGCCCCAAATTTTCTCCTAGTCATCCCACCCACGCTACGCTAAGTGCAAGTTAGTACCCGGTGCTGCTGCAATGCAATTCTGCCCCAGCCTGGCTGTCATTGAGCGGCACAGCGAGCAAGGCGGTGTCTTGACCTTCTGGCTGAGTCCAAAACAAGGAAACCGAAAGCCCATCCTTCCAGGCTCCAAAACACATGAGAACCTTCTGGAAAGAGCCTCTGGTGAAACAATCCCATAGTGGGGGGCCTCAAAACTCTTTCCTATCGCGCCGCCAAACTCGCAAAGGCACTGTCCGAGCTCTGGTCTTGCAAATTGATACTTGCAGTAAAAGCACGGCGTGAAATCAAATTGGGTTCTGCCATGCATTTTCCTCCCGAAGGGCCAAATTGTGCTTTGTGGGGGAAGGTAATGCTGATGACGCATCAAACGCCGACGCGATTGGAGTTTTGCTCTAAAAGTGCCCGCGCGGTTGCGTTTCGTGCCAACGCTTGTACGTGTGCACCTACTGGAAACCTGTCAAGTCAAGCTCCACAGCCAACTGTCAAAAAGTGGCTACGCGCGCCTACGCGCGTGCAGTACTATGCCTACGCGGGGCCTGATATGTCCCCTGTCCTTTTGCCCCTTTACTACGCTCTATTGTGCATTTGGCTTTGGCCTAATGTTCGGCAGGGCATGTCAGCTTTGGGTGGGTCAAGGTGTGTTTGGGATGGGGGATGGGTTGGCTTAGGATGAGTTAACGGCGGCGTTGAGTGCAAAGAGTTGGGTTCAGTTGCGTCTAGGATTGTTTTGGGGGTTGTTTGCAGTTTCGGGGTAGTGTAAAAAGAGAGGCTAAGGGTTGGCAGAAGCCAAAAGCCACAACGCCATGCCAAAAGGCCGAGCTCCACAAACTGGATAAGTCTGAACGCTTTGCAGGCGTGCTGGAAAGGGGCAATTATTGCTTCCCTTTGGTGTCGTGTGCAAACGTCTGTGAGCTATTTGGCCACCTTCAAACCACAAAAGCCATACATTTTCCCCACCAAGGTTTTTAGTTACAGGGCACTGGGGCACCCTCATATCCACTGAAAAGACAAACGCCTAGGACAGGTCCCGGCCATCGCTAAGGCTCAGGGCCCACGAAGAAGCCCGGGATGAGCAGCTCGGACAGCTGGCGCAATGATGGGCTCAGAGGGAAAGCGTGTGGGGAGGAACCGCCGGCGGTCGGCCGCACGCAAACTGTGGACTGCCAAGATCCTGTTGGCAAACACCTAACAAGGGATTTTGGAGGAAAAGTTGCAGGAGAAGTGGGCGAGTTGAACAATTTCGGGAGCGGGGGGCTCAAATTGTCGGCACAACTTGAAGGCGAATCCCAAGAGCAACTATGGCTTCTTTCCAACTTTTTCCAACGGCAAACTGACCCAAGGTAAGTTGATCAAAAATGATTCAGTGGGCTGCTCCCTTGAGGGAATAAATCTCAGAACTGGGCTGTCCTCAGCTCCCCCGCTCAAAGTTTAAGTTTTAGTGACCTCCATGCTGCCCGGTTAGCTTTGTGGGTTAAATGGAAATCCAACCACTAAACACCAAAAGGCTAAAAAGCTAAGGAACCGGATGGCTGTGAACCGCCAAGAAAAGGCAACGAACAAAAGGCCGCCTGAGCCCCCAGACTGTGGAATGTGGGTCCGGACCTCGCGCCTTCTCGGCGGAGTCCGCTGAGATCAGTGACACCTGGCAAGCGCGCATGGGGCTTTCAAGCGCGCCTCTGAAAGCCAAATGGACCACGGCTTCGTGGTGGGTGAAGGGGAATTTCGAGTTTCCTACAGGGCTCCCTATATTTCCCCTTAAAACCTCACTCCCACAAAGGGACACTCACCGTTGGCCAAAAAGGTGATGTTTTTGAATCTCACAAAAAGGGAAATATAGGGCCCGGCGTTTTCAAAATTCAGATGATTTGAAGGAATCCCCCGGCGGCTGTGTCCTCCAAAGTCCCAACAACGCACCATGCCCCAAAGCGACGCGGGACGCTCCAAAGGTTCTGGGGAGGTGCTGCGTGAGGATTCACCACCTTGGCTCGCCGAAATCAACGCGGCAGAGGACACCCAGTTGCAACCAGTGATTAAACGAACAGAAAAAGAGAGCGCCTTATGGGGCTGACCATTTCTGTTGAAAACAAGAAGTGACAAATTGGGTCGCGGACAAGCTCTCTGAGCAGAAACTCCATGGCATCTGGGCAGCAGACTGCAAGCATCAGGATGAAGACGCCCTCAATGACCTGCACGCAGTATTGCGCCAAACACCAACCAACACTGGTGTCGAGGATGTTAGATTCCGCACAAAAATCTGGGGGCCCGCAACTTAAACCATCCGCCAACATGTTTGGAACATGATGTGCCACAGTGGCTGACCACGTTTGCGACATTGAAGGCTGCGGCGATCCAAAGTTGCTTGCAGGGGAGGAGTTCCTTGAGAGTGAGATTGTCTTCAAGGCACTCCCTCTCCTCGCTGAAATCTCTTAGCATGCGCAAGTTGAAATGTCAAGCTTCGGGTGGAGTTCACGCGAAGTGGCACACTTGGCTGACTTTCTGTGAATTCCGCTCGGCAAAGCTGCGGTTCTGCCGCCGAACCGGCAAGAAGCCGTACAAAACTCGTAAAAACAAAAAAACACACACACACAACGTGATTCGCCCTGAGGGCGCCGCATTCTCGCAACACACCGTTTGCTTTGATGCCAAAAGCTCACATTGGAGCACAAACCTCGGGCCCTAAAGACCGGCAATGCCTTGGCTTTTCCAGTGCAACTCAGAGATTACGTGGGGCGCGCTTCGCGAGCGAGGAAGAACCGGCTTGCAAAAGATACGGGCTCTGACTCGCTTAGCATTTTGCAGGCTTCTTACACGCATTGTGTTTGGATACATCAAGACAACTGAGCTGGGAAAACAGCCTCCAAACATGTCTCGCTCCAGGTTTGCACTCATTGAGCTTGTAGCAAGGTACCCTAGAAATTTGATAAACCGCGTTCCAGAAGAAACTCACCTGCAGTGGAGCTAATGGCCTGCAGGGAAATGGCTCATACTTGAAAAACTTGTTGTTACATTAACAGGCGGGGCTTCCAAACTCAACCTGTGGGTTTCAATCAAGGTGTGGCAACACCACTTGTCAAAGGGGAGCGGCAAATTCGCAGGCTCTTGGCACCCCAGTTCCGCCTTTTTTTTTCTCCCCGCGTCTGAGGTCCTCGCTGCGGATCGGTCCATCAGCAAGAGTAACACATTCGCCTCACAGAAAATTGGATGCTTGCGAAATCCGTTTCGCACCACCTAGCAAACCCTGGCATGATTTGACCGTGCATTTTGGGGTGGGTGCACCACCCACTTTAGTCTATTTTAGTGGGGATTGGGACGTTCACTGGGGGGAAGGGCTTTTGACCCCTGGCAACACCCATGGGTATGGTTCAAAACAGGGATCCCCCCAAAAAAGGTTGGCTTCATCTTGATTTCCCCAAACCATCCGAAAGAAGATTTACCATTTGGGCTTGTGAAGGAAGGACCCCCCCCAAAAAGAAACATGGCATCCTATCGTTTTCGTTTGAGACCACAAAAAGGGGGTGCCAACGACAAAACGATGCCGACGACTATGGCTGTGTGATAGTAAGTTGCGCATGTGCGCTCGTGTCCTAAAACAAGGCACTCCAACGCTTCTCTCACTTCGCCTCCTTGTTCTTAGAAAAAGCATTCAACCAGGGTCCCCATTTATGGTCTGCTCTAAACCTTCAATTGCTATTGGCAGAAACAGCGTCCCATTGCCCCATTGCCACTTTCCAACTTCAGGAACACCTGTCTTTTTCCCACCTCCGGGCACGTGTGATGGCCGCGCTCCTGCAGTGAAGAATCGCTGGTTGAGCGCGAATTAGCACAGCCTGCCGGATTGGCGGTGGGTCCCAAGCGCCAAAGGCGGCAAGGGGTCAATTCATCACGGGTTACAGACCAGTCGCTTCGCGCAAAACTTTGAAGGCTCGTTCAATCAAGACTACGTCGGCCGCTGGGCCATTGCCACAGCTGGACATTCTAAACAAGTGTGAAACAGTGGCCCCCAGGAAAAAAACAAGCTTTGATGGCCTGAAACACAAGAAGATCCGGCCACCGCGAAGCTGAGTGCTGGGGACGCATGCGTTCGGAGTGCCACGTCCATGGTGCTTCACGGCAACAATCGGGAGGCAAACAAGTCTCTCTCTCCCTCCCTCCCTCCCTCCCTCCCTCCCTCCCCTCCCCTCCCCTCCCCTCCCTCCCTCCCCTCCCCTCCCCTCCCCTCCCCTCCCCTCCCCTCCCCCTCCCCTCCCCTCCCTCCCCCCCCTCCCCTCCCCTCCTCCCTCCCCTCTCCTCCCTCCCCTCCCCCCTCCCCCCCTGCCCCTCCCCTCCCCTCCCCTCCCCTCCCTCCCCTCCCCTCCCCTCCCCTCCCCTCCCTCCCACAGCTGTAGCAACATGTGAGACAACACCTTCTGTCACGCCAAGGTGGGCCACTACGGCTACTTCACTGTTTTAACGGGGTTCCCTTGGTGTCAAAGAAAGTGGCAAGCTTCAACCAGCCATTTTCCACGGCCATGATGGCTGGAAACGACCATCTCTACGTTGGTCTCTCATTCGACGACAAGACCCCTGGCACGTCTTCGTCACAAGCCGTTTCTTGTTCCTTTGCAGGCTAGCTCTTGACTACTGAAGCAAAATAAATCTTCAGCAATAGGATTTGGAGGCTACAACTAAGGCGGGCAACCCTCTGCAGTGATAGGAGCATTTTCCCATCATGTTGAGGGGTATACAACCTTCCACACCTCCGAATCCCATCCCAGAACTCCCTGGATCACGATTTGGACAACTCCCTGGATCACCCATTCTCGGGGTCATTCACGACTGCTTTCTCACTTTCAAGGGGATGCCAAAGAAAAAAAGGAAAAAGAAACGCTACGCGGCCCGAAGAAAAATAGAACAACAAACACAAGAAAACACGCACACAAACCGTGTCCGACTGTTTTTTTGTTTTTTCCCCCCGACTTTCTCCTCGGCATAGGGCAGCTGGTAGGTGCACCGCGTTTGGCAGCCACCGGTGATGTCCTCGAAGGAAAGCAGAATCAAAATTGCTTTCGCCCCAGAGTTCAACGCTCATTAAAAGACAGGTTGGGAATTGGATGAAAGAAAGGTTAGGCCAATTTGGATGATGACAATCCTGAGGTAAACAATGGAGGCTATATGAGTCCCCCTGGTTTTCACGCAAAGCTTGGAGCACAGGATCTAGCTGGATAAACCCTCTCTGCACACTGGAGGAAACCTACCAACAGCCAGTCTCTTAATTCTGAGCCAAAGGTTAGTCTAGTTTTAGAATGGGGGGGGGGCTCCACCCCGTTCTTTGGTTCGTCAGCTTGGGCACAACTTATGGATGAACCCACACTGGCACACACACCACGACCTGAAGATCTAAGCCTCAAGAAAGCCGGCTGCCAAGGCCATGCTGGTTGGAGATCCTCTCGGAGATCCACGCGTTTCTAGGCTGGTGATTTTTTCCAGGGCATGCTGCCCTGCTTTGAACTTGGACATCTCCGCCCTCAGATCCCCCGCAAGTGAACAACTTTGAGCGGCTTAAATACGGAAACTGCCACTAAACACTAGGCTCAAAAGCTAAGGAACCGGATGGCCGGGAACCAGATCTAGCTACCTCAACGGGGACGGATCTTTTGGAACTGGGAGCCGGGGTGTGCTCCATGTTTTGCGCTGCCACTGGGGAATCGCATTGGCCAATTCTCATCCTTCTCATCCTGAATTCAAGTTGACCCCGAAATGAGCCAAATCCGGGGGAAATCGGAGTGGTCCACCAAAAGGAAGCGGAGCGATTTCCATGAGCAAGAAGAAGAGCGCCTTTTGGTTGGCTATCCCTCCCCCAGGAAGGCGCCCCTGGGCTGCGGAGCACCGCTCCGCACCCAGTCCTGAAAGCGGGTGCACAGCGGCCGGAAGTCCCAGCCAGGAGGGGCTTCAATGCGGATCTGGCCGGGAAGCCGAAACGAAAGGCTCGTTTTTGGCTTCCCCAAGCGAAAACCCACAAATTCGCTGGTTGGGGCCCATGTCAACAACACTTTCTTGGACACCCCACGTTTTTCTTTTGCGGTGTCAGATCTTCCTTCATGTTGCAGAGTGTTGGCGTGAAAAGGAAGCCCGCACATGATGAATTTGCAAGTGTGCTTGGCTGGTTCATTCGAATGGCGACGGGCCTGTCGCGCTTAAAATGATCAAGGACAAGCAAGTGACTAAACATCGGGGAAGCAAGGTTGATCACTGCTACGCAGCGTGGCTTGAACTGAGCAAAGGTAGACTGCCTGTGACATTGCCGGGAATCTCGAGTGGGATCCTTTGCCGAACATTGTTTGGGATTTATCCCCAGCGACCATGTTTGAGGTTGCTCCAACCATTAAATTTGAATTAGCCACATCTTGCGCAGGCCTTTTTGCTGCCCGTTGCGGCTGCAAGCCATTTTCGAGCCACGCGCCATGCATCCAGTTCGGCAAAAGCATTCTACCAGGAGCGTATTCAACCACAAGTTGTGGCCGCGCCTGACAGTTGCGCGTCTCAGGCTTTTGGTTTTGGCTTCATGTTGAAAGAGACATCACAAAATCAGCATTCACAAAGTGACGAGCAACCCGAACATCAGCAACAAAACAATCAGCAACTATATTTTATTTTGGGGGAGGTTCTCTGTTAGATACACGACTTTCAGCCTCCATAGAAGAACCTCCTCGCATCAAGCGCTCAGCAGATTGGCTGCGTGCCATTGCTGGCCTGTCGGGCCAATGCACACGCGTGCGCGCAACACACACACCACCTGCGACCTGCTGACTATTGGCGACTGGGGGTCGGGGACCAGAAAGGTTCATGACCTTGCACTCCCCGTCTCATAGCTCTGAATCAGTATCGGAAGTATGGGAAAACAAGCGCGCCTCGGTTGATTTTAAGACGTACTTGAGGGTCCTCCTTTTTGGGTTCATCGAAAGGGAAACCGAAGGGGAAGCACCCATTGTTGGAGTCGCCTCGACGATAAATCCGAATTCTCCGATCTAGGCCTGGTGTCTCACATGCAGAATGTTGAAGGGTTTGCATGCCAAATGTTGGACCCTGCCCACCGCTAGCAGTCCCCTTTTTGGAAGCAACTCAATATTTCTACCACTGTGAGGGAGCCGCTAGCTCCGATGCAAAATGCATGTCTGGGAAGCCATCACACAGCATTTGTGGCCGCCAATCATTTGGAGGCTCCAACTCAACAAAAAGTTACCACAAAGACAACGAGGCCTCCCAAAAAAATGCCGGGGCTTGCACCGAACTTAGCGCACCGTGGCTTCGTTGAGGGGGGTTCGTAGCACGGGTTCTAGCGGTCTGCCTGCCACCCGGGACCAGAGCAGTGAGCTCCTGTTGACGAGGTACGTGCAATCACCTCGGAGCGCACAGTGGCTCGTCCCATATACAGGACATATGGCGATGGGTCAAAACCCAAATCGGTTCTCCCCCAGTGAACATCCCAATCCAACCACTAAAATAGGCTCTAAAATGGGTGGTGCACCTACAGTACCCCAACATGGTACCATTGGTGTTCGCCCACGGGCATATATTAACGAGCTCCCCTGTTTCTACGGGGGAAATCTAGAGCTCCCAAAGCCGCGCGCGGGAAGCTGGGGCCTCTCCGAACAATACAACGCCACTTTCTCAGTCCAAACCAAAGGGAGTTTTTGCGTTTTTGTGGCCCTGCAGCTCAGAAATGCCGCCCCAGGCATTTGAAGCTCAAGCCCACATGACCCTTGCCCCAAGCAGGTTTCTTGATGCCCGGGCCGCCGGGCTGATGAAGACTTGCCCCGCCAGCGCGGTGGTTTCCTGGCCGCTGAACAACTCCCACGGCTTCGCAAAGTTGGGACCGCCCGAATGGCCAAAGGTAGCCAGAAGGTAAGATGGATCTGCCCGAAAGGGCGAACTTCTCCGGGAAGCTACCACCTTTTCAGAGACCCGTACACCACGCTCCCCTAAAGCCTACCCCAACCGGGGCATCACTACGTCTTATGCGGGTGTGGTTTGTGGCTGGTTTTAAGGGACACTAAAATGAACACTCACTGCTGTTCTTTTGTGAGGGGGGGGTGCATACATCTTTACAAGTTCTCGAAGACGGCCGAGCGAAACAAGGCCCGGCGCCGGGCCTGCGACCAGAACCTGGGCAAACACTTCCACACCTTCCCCCGCCTGGATTGGTCGGCCAAACGCACGGGGCTGTCCTCTTGTCAGAGTGCCCTGTTTGGCAGGTTTTAACGGGAAACCAACAGGCAAACCCAGGATTTTTGGGGGTACGCTACAACAAAGACACAGCCACACACTGAACTTTGTCACCTTGCCGCTAAAATGGTCTGAACCATTTAAAGTCGGGAGAAGGGGGGTATTGAACCAAAGGGCGCCAGATCCCTTTCCGAGTGCCTTTGATTCTTTGGGCAGCAGGTCCCAATGCCAAGTGCTCAAAGGAATCAACTTAACCACCCACCGAAAACAAATTCTGTGGGAAAACCAGCCAAAATGGTGGAGAATTCTGGCATTCTCCTTCTGCCCAAACTGCTCAGAAATCCTTTTCTCAGTTGCAAAATCTGCTCCCCTGCTAAAAGTTTAACTTTTAGTGGTTTCATGGAAGACCCATTGGTTGGCAACAAGTTCAAGTCCTAACATCCAAGCAAAATGCACCAAAGTTTTGGGCCATGACAAAAAAAAGAACAAAGCAAGGACACCAACAGGTTAGCGATGCTGAGGGTTGCTTGTGACACCCAGGATGTGCACAGCAAACGCTACAAAAACCGCAAAGAGCCACGAAAGCGCAGCCGTGAAGGCCGAAAATGCACCCGCGCGCGGACCGACCGAGCGACCGACGACCCCCTGCCACGACCCTGCCACGACCCGGCCCCCCAAAACTCAGGAAAAAACAAAACCCAAAACCCGGGGCCTAGCGCGAAATCCAAACAGACAAGGAAAGGGCGCCGCTCACCTTCGGTTATGAGAGGCCTTGCTTCTCTGAGCGCCTGGCTTCCGAAAGGTGCTCCGCAGTGTGTCCTGGCGAAAACTCTCGGTGCCGGATGGAGGCTCAACCCCACGGTGCCCGGGCCCCTTTTCAGTGAGCTGTGCCCAATGCTTGCCGGAAAGTTGAAGGGTTGAAGGTCAAGCCGCTCAGTTGTCTCGAGGGAAACCAGGAGCAAAGCCAGACACATTGCAGATTCCGTATTCTGAGGCAAGCCCATACCCTGCCTGCAATCGTGCGTGCCTGTGCTTCTTTGCTGCAAGAGGAGGTCTCTGCCCACTCACCATAGGTGTCCTTTTTGGTTGAAACTAGATGGATCTGGTAGTTGATTGAACCACCAGGTGAACCAGGAATCGCCCAACCCATTTTTCAACCAAATCCAACCAAGAAGGACACCTATGCCACTCGCATCACAAAAGGGTGGCTCTAAGGACCCGATTGCAGTTCTCGACTTCGGCCTGGGTCTTGGGCATGTCCATGCCGGCCACCCTGGCAGGCAACAACCCGGCTCTGGCTGCAGCCGGCATTTTGGAGGCAAAAAATCCGCGAAGACCAAACAACAAAAATCAACTCTGGGTGAAATATGCGACTTCGCTCGCCGAAAAACGGGTCGTACTACGGGAAACTCACTTCACCTTGTCAATTGCTCCACAACTAATAAGATGTCCGGATTCTGGCCCATATTTAGACTTCACGCAGTAAGCTTTTTCAGCTGGAGACTTGTCATCAACCACTTGCGGGCAGCTACCCCAGCTTTCCCCAAAAACCGATATGTTTAGATTCTGGCGCCTTTGCAGTGACCTTTAATAGAACTTGATCTCATTTACGAGAGGTCTGAGAAAGAGAAAGTGAGAGAGAGAGAGTGCTATTCGGACTCGCTCCAGCACCAAATTTGAATTTGCTTGGGACGCCCTTGGGTGAAAGCGCGCAGACCATCAAGTGTGGCAGAGCCACGGCGGGCGCCAAGGGCACAATCCTCAGATGGCGTGTTGTCTCACTCACGCAGTGCAAATGCCAGCGCTACTGACCTACAGCGGATGGACAAATCCTGCACCAGTTGGTAGGTTGTTTGGTTTAAAGGAACAAGCTCGTCGTTTTGGGCATGAATCATGATCGAACATCATTTACACGGAAATGTCACGCCCACCAACACTTTTGAGGGCGCTCGCTTAAACTCACAACACAAGGCCCTGCACACATAAGATCTTGCTCCTATCATGCCCCCGCAACCTCATTCCAACGAAAATTGGCCAATGCATAGTTCGACCTGCCTTTGGCACCGTGGACTCCTTGGCCCACCTCTGCCCTTCTCTCTTGGTTCCGCTTCCCAGGCTTCGTTTGGGGTCCCTGGAGCTTGGGAATGCAGGCATCGGGGCTCCTTTTTTCGGTGACCTCCTCCAAAAAGGTCGGCGAACGAAGCAATCAATCCATCGGAGGTCGCAGTTGACGCACGATCGAGGCCCGCCATGCAAGTCGCATGTCTGCGCTGTCCTCAGATCCCCCGCGAAAAGTGAACAACTTTTCGTGGGTTCAATGGAAATCCAACCAGACACTAAACGGCTCAAAAGCTGAGGAACCGGATGCCTGGGGTTCCCATCAAGTCTGAGCACCTGGCGGAACTCGCCGTTGCGGTCGCGGACCAACTCCCCCACACCTCAGTGCGGAAATCGACCCCAATGGCGTGGGCTTTCATGTTGACCCTGGATTCATAAACCCCTGTTGATCAATATGGGGGTGTTCCCCTTAAGTCCTTAAGTGATAAATCCCCACTAAAACCAGGAACACCCCCATATTGATCAACAGGGGTTTATGAATCCGTTGTCAACACTACCCCAATCTTGCTTGCTCAGGATTGATTCACGTCTCTCGGCCGTCAACCCTCACTTTTGAGTTGTGTAGTGTCGAGTTTCTGGAAACCTCCGAATTCTGTTTAACACGAAGCTAAGGTTTCAA